TTTTTTTTTCTTTTCAGAATGAAATATTTATATATTTTTTATTATACAAATTATGTACTTTTACGATAGTTTATCACGTCAAATTTCAGTATAATAATAAGGTTGTAAGTGTATTCCATGAATGAAAAATTTATGAATAAAAACAAGCCGAAACTGCTTTTAAAATATTGTTTATAGATAATTATAGATATTTTTGACCATATATTTATATTAGTAATTTTAAGAGAATATTCTTAGAACTAAATTAATAAACATTTCCGGGATGGTTCCACTTGTTTAGATATTATTGAAAGTAATGAAAGACATAAAGCGACAAGTTCTCAAAATAGTCCTCGTGTTTAGTGTAGTGTTATATAAGAGGAAATTAAAGTAATTACCCCCTTAATCTGTTATTCAATTATCAATTAAGTGATATGAGAAAAATGTTTTCTATATAGAATACTGTACTTATATTTCTTATAAAAATTAATAAAAAAAAACCAGCAGTTTTTTAAAAATATTTTATCTAAAATTATATTATAGAGCAGATTTGCATTAATTTAAATACCGGGAGGAAACTCAACTCTCGTCCTAATATGGTATTAATTATTCCACATCTGTTAGGTGCCACGTAACTGATGATATCATACTTAGAGGAAATTTGTAAGGCTTTAAACGATTAACCAAATTTTCATCGTCGTTCATGATAAATCACTTTAATTGTTTTATAAGAGGAGATTCCGGGTTCCTTTCTTTTATATTTTAAAAATAATTTTGTTAATTTTAATAAAAGTAATATGTGTTTTAATAAATACAAATTTGTATAATCCCCAAAAAATTTTGTTGATTATTTTATTTAATAATTTATCCTAAAATAATTTTTTTTTTAATTTTTCTATCAGAAATTTATTCATAATTTCAAATATCTGAAAATTGTTTAGAACAGGTCCCCAGACTATAGCCAGGGTTGCTTACAGACAATTAGAAAAAAAAATTGCAATTTAAAAAAAAAAAATATTTTACTTACGATATTTGTTATGTATTTTATTTGTGTTCAATGTATTTTCTTAATTTTTAATAAAGTTCTATAATTATTATTCTTAAAATTTACATATACTTTATATATGTGTGTGTGTGTAGGTGTGCGTGTGATATTAATCCCTTCAGCTCATTGCTGTTCTCAGAATTAGTAATGTGGTCCTCCTCTTGAAAAGTTTGGGGACTACTGTTCTATAGAATCGTTACACTTTTATTTACATTTATTCTTTTTATATTTCTTTGGATACTTTTCAGATTATTTTCAATGATCTTTATAACTTAGCCTTATTTATTGCATCAAGTTTAAAGCAGTTTATAAATAGAATATATGCTTCAAATAACTTACATCATTTTATTTTGAAGTAATTTTACAGTCATTGTGTAATCATAACTCAAATCTTCCTTTTCATTTTTATCTATTGTTATCTATATCATCATTTTTCAGATGCATTGACATATAAAAATCACTTTACTTTAATTTCAAAATATTCTCCAAATTTTTATATAAAATATTTTATTTGTTAAATTTATTGCTCAATAACTTCCTATTAAATAAAATGATTAGCAAATAATAAATAGTAGTACTCAGTAAATATTTTGCAATTTATTTTACATCATCAGATGAGGATAAATAAAATTTTATAATTATTATTTTAAAATTGTTTTATTCAGTCAAAATTTTTAAGTTTACTAAATTTATTTAAATGAAGGTTTATATATAGAAAATAAACATTGTTTAATTATTATTATAAACAACTCATTCTATGGTTAGAAAGAAAAACAAAATAAACGAAAACAGATGTAAAACATTCAAGATGACAAGCTTAAATTCACATTCAATGTCATGTTAAAAGATAAAAGTGGAAACTGGAAAAAGCTTTTGAGAAAATTAGAAAAAATCGATTCTAAATTTATCCACTTTAAATCCGTTAATAATGATACTGTATTTTAAAAATTAACTTTCGATATTTGTAGTTGGAATCTATTTAACTAAAATTCTAATTTATAGGCTTATGTATTTGTTTTTTATTTTTAATTATTACAAATACATGGTTCAAATGTATAAAATTATGTGATCGATTTTTACTATAAATAACATTTGTATTGGATGAAATTAACATTTGTTTTATCTAAACTGTAAGAGTAGTACAGTACATTCATTTTGTTTGATTTAATATAAACATTCTATTTATGTAGCTGAATCATTAACTGAATGTGATGAACCTAACCTAATACAAGTATATTAAAAAAATATATATATATATATTTCATTCTTTAACTATTATTTTTTAAATGAATTAAAACACTATTCTTTAGTTAAAAACATGTATTTTATATTTTATTTTAAAAAAATTTCATACAATAAATTCTCGTTTTACGACTGCATCATTTACCCCGTTTCAATTCCCCGTTTTACGATTGATATAAATTTCTTATTATGACTATATAAAATGCCGTATTTTTGTTAACCGTTTTTATGTGGTATTAGAGATAAAACTATTTCAAAGTACTGTACATAACTTCGATTTACGACTCTAAGTGTTACATTACCATGACTAACCTAAAATAAACAAACAAACAAATAATATAATTGTTCCTATACTAAAATGGAGAAAATTGATGGTCCTATCGCTGAAAACAAACGATTTGATTTTCTTTTTATAATAAAAAAAATTCGGCAACGAGTTGCGTAACTTTCCTGGCTGTTGTGAGATTTTATTCAGAAAATAACTTTTATATTTTTAATTTCGATATACCAGTCGACCCCCCTATAACACTGTTGATAATTCCGTTTTATATGACTTCCATATTGTACGAGTCACTTAGATTTTACAAATATGCGTGCCGGGCTGTGAATGGCTCACGTATTTGTAAAATCTAAGTGACTCGTACAACATGGAATTCATATAAAACGGAATTATCAACAGTGTTATAGGGGGGTCGACTGTAATAAACAGACTTGTGTGTGACGCCATCTGTTATGTGATTTTGTTATAAAAACTTTCTATATTTTTAATTACTATAGAATGGCCAAAAGCTTAATTTTCAGGGTAAAGGTCTTCGTTAAGTCTGGCCCCACTCGAGATATGACACGTGACTTTTCCTCTATCTCTTTTCACTTTCAAAATCCTATTTTTTATTTCTATATGAAGTTAAAAAAAACTATTTTTTGATTAAATAATAAATATATGACGAACGTGTAAAAGATAAGTTGAAATAATAATTTTGTGGCATTAAAAAAAATTCTAGACGAGGACAACGGTTTATAAAATAGAAATGAAACCGAATTATTTAAAAAGTTTTCTAAATACAGGTAGGCCTCCTACAACGCGGTAGATACGTTCCTTGAAAATACCGCGTTATAGGAGACACCAACTTAATACAAAAACTGGGATTCGGTTCTAAAAAGAGAAAAACTTGGCGTTTGAATGGCGTTTTTTGAATTT